CTATCAATATAGCTGTTCCCACACATACCACAAGAAGGTTGCTTTTTCCAGGCTTGTTTGGCACAGAATCCAATATAATAAAATAAAAGCATTTTTTCTCCAGGCAGTGAGAGCTGTCAACAAGCATCTCAGAGACACTGGCCAAAGAGCCAGAAAAATATTAGCTCACAACAGGCATCAGCGTTGTTATCATTAATGGGATGATGAAAGCCTGAACTAGAGGGGTTCCTGCTCAGAATGTTTATGAGCCACGGCGAGAGCCAAAAACCAGGTGGGAAGGCTTTGAAGTAACACTGCCCGCTGGCTTTTCTTCACTGAAAATCGTACCATCGGGCAAGCGCCGCTTCTAGGGGCGCAAGGGCATCTGTGTGCCTCTAAAATCGTTCAGCACAGAACTATTTCCAAGTAGAGATGGGCATGAACTGAACCACGAACCGGGAAAAAAAATGAAAAATCAGGTTGGTTCGTGGTTCCTTTCGCGAATCTGTCGGAGGGAATCCCGTTTTGCCAAAGCAAAATGAAGTGGTGATTTCTCCCCCCCCTTCCCGGGCGCTGCCTTTTGTTGAGCAAAAGGAGATGGCCATCTGCCCCTTCCCACTGTCCCCTTTGCCCCCCCCAAGTACCATCCTCAGAGGCAGGAGAAGCAGCAGAAATAGGTAGGGAGGTGATGGAGGCCATAGGAAGGCGCTGGGTGGGTGGGCAGAGGGCAGGAGCAGACGGGTGTCCCCCCCCCTCCAGGTGCAAAAATACCACTTTTAGATGCACCCACAATGGTTTACTCAAGGGGGGGAAATGCATCCATTGGAAAAATGGGCACACAAATCTATATTCCATAGAAAAGACTTGCCAGATGTGCCAGTTTGGGCTAATAATTTACACGGAGGCTTTTGGGGTCTTTTGGCAATTTAAAACTGCAGTGTACATTTCATCAATCCAAATCAATCTGCCCAGACACAGCATGAGACATAAGCAGAGACGATGCAGTTCAGTCTTCCTTAAATCAACAGTTAGTTGACTGAGTCTATACAGTTGTTTTCGTCCAAATGAGACACCAGGATGTAAGCAAAGCTGGCCCTGGGAGGTTGTAATCATGCAGGCCAGATGTTCCTGGACTAAAACTCCCAGAAGCCTTTGCCACTCGCTGTGCTGGCCAGGATTTCTGGGAGCTGTAGTTCAAGAACATCTGGGGACCTAAGGTTGGGAACCACTGTATTTATGGTATGAAATTAGCGAGGAAGCATTAGCTTACAACCTCACTGTTTGTAATACTGAACAGTCAGTCCGCTAAGATCAAAACCGTATCACGCAGCAGCAGGCCTTCATTTGTAAAAACCCTGAATTCTTCAGGTTGTCATAGTGTAGTCAAGGAAAGGTTTTAGAAATTTCTCTAATGAATCAGAGAAGGCAAAATATTGTAAACAATTCTGCAGCTGAAAGACACAGGCAAAATCTTTTTCCCCCCTCAAATGGCAAAATAAACACTGATGAATTACCGAAGCCATAAATCCATGTAACCTAGAATAATGATGATGATGGTCTATGCCCTCTCTAATTAAGAGAGCACAGACCTGGCAGAAAACTTGATGTTCATAATTCACTAATTCACTCTTAGAAGAAATGCAAGAGTGCGAGGCCTTTACAGACCACTAAAATAACATCAGACAATCTACTAGCTTTCAGGGATCAAGACCACTTCATCAGGCTTGTGCCAGTGGGAAGAACTTAAAAGTCCAAAAGTTCATGGCCAGGTGGGTGTTGCACGGAAGGTCTTTCTTAGACGGATGTCAGGAAGGATGGAAGCCGCATCCGGGCTGTTGCTTTAAAGTTACAGTGGAGGCAGTTGTGGGCTGGATCTCCACACCCCAGTTCTTTAACCAAAGAGGTGCCAGCCATGTGCACGCACACCTTCCCATTTAAGGAACAAAATGCACAGATACCTAGCTTTCGGACACAAATTTTTGAATGTGAGGACATTTGATGGGTAAGATTACAAATCACTTTCATATCCTTTTCCCTAGAACACGCAAGACACCTTTGGCCGACAGACCAAATATCGAGCGATTCACCCACTAGCCAAATGTGTCTTTGCCAGCAAAGATTCTTGGGGTGGGGGTTAGTAGTAATGGGGGAGGAAACCTTTTAATGCAATTAAACCTCTCTGACATTTGACGGACTCCTGAAATCAAATATGGGTGGAATATTGAGAACAGGCTCTGAGGTTCTGTATGAGGTTGCAATCATGCAGTAGCAGCATCGCAGCTATAACTTCCACACACAGTTTAAACTGGAGCGCTGGCTTTTATGGTCAGTGTTACTGGAACCACTGGTAGGAAGGGGCAAAGGTTTTCCACCCTGCTCCTGATGGCTATTCCCTATTTTTAGTTTAAGAGTGACATATGGTTTTCACTAGACAGTGTGGGTTATGGCTGCTGCCCAGCGACCCATACAGATGACAGAAACTTGCACGATGCTTCCAGCACCAAACTGTTCATTTTTAGAATGGAACAAACTTATTTAGTCCAATCAGAATGAAACACGACGTGTTTGTTTTCAAAACCCTACATTTATTTTGCTTACTTTCTCAACTTCCCCCTTTCTGGTACAATGCAACTTTTGTGAGAAGTTAAACATGTGATGGGTCTCTCAAAACTGCAAGCAAGCATTTCTAGACCCAAAACAAATATGGCTTGCACCTATACGGAGGCACTATGTAATTTTCAGAAAGCCACAGGCTCCGGGATGTGGCAACTGTGAAGGATGACCGGATGTCACGGGAAGAGGGAACACACGGACGCGCACAAAAGCCTTGTGCAAGACTCATGCCTCGTTGGGTCCCTTACCTGTTCACTGTAGAGAACCTGGACATTTTTTATGATACGACAGTGTTTCTGAAGAATGGCTACAGCTTGAGCCAACGGCATCCCTGGAAGGAGAAAACACAACCGAGTTATAGATGATCCTCTCTCTTAGCCATGCTGGCAGAGACATGTTTGCTCAGCAGGGTCAACAGGGGGGTAATGCTCACTCACTGTCCATGTACAAGATGGACAACACAAAACCTTTTGCTCCAGTGACGGATCCTTTCATCAGATTGGAAGCAATCTGTTGTTTCAGGAACAGGAAAACTTGGCTGTCAACCCAGACAATTTTCTAACAAGGTGGAACACTAGGCACCCTCACCAACCTTGCTCCGTAGAAACGGTCCAGTTTTAAAAAGACAGTAAAATGGTACTCCCGTTAAATCTTGGATCCTTTGGTGCATGGCATGCCTGTGGTACATGCCCACAATTTTAATTTTCCCGTTAAATATTCCAACTGGAGATATTTTAAGGAGTGGTTTTACCAGTTCCACTCGCCCCGTGAATTTTCATGGCCAAGCAGGGATTTGAACTCTGTTCTCCGGAGTCTTACTCCATCACTCTGTCCCTTTCACCACACTGGGACTTTCCTATTTTGCACAGCAAGAAAAAAAAAGAAGGGACTGCCACCACGTATACTGGCAGGGGCAACTTCAGAAGGTGGTGAAGCCATCCTTGTGCCACGACTTTAGGGGGTTGGCCTCTGCCCGTACTACCCCAACCATTTTTGCCTCCCTTGCTCTGAATTTTGGGATACAAATACCCAACAGTGCCCGGAAAAGTACTGTATCTTGTAAGAGCAACTGGCCAGCAGGGACCATTTTTACTCCTTTAAGCTGCTTTGCTCTTTACTTCTTTCCCAAGACTGCAGCGTCCATTAATTCTGAAAGCAACAGTGTAGAAGGACCAACTGTACCCCTGAAGGTGCAGTCAGAGAAATTTGGGGCCCCCGACTTTTTTCAGGTGAGGGTGTGGGTTTTCTCTTCTGAATAAGGTAGGCTATGATTCTAAAACTACCAACATGAATCTGACCCAACTCCGGGAAGTAGTGGAAGACAGGAGGGCCTGGCGTGCTCTCGTCCATGGGGTCATGAAGAGTCGGACACGACTGAATGACTAAACAACGACATGATTCTAAAAGGGGTCCCCCTTCTCAGAGGCTCACATTTTGAGGGCAGAACCACTTAAAAGTCCTAGCGGTCAGACAAATTTCTGCTGCAGCTCCAAAGGGACGAATTTACCAGATTTGGTAAATGACACAGAACTGTACGGCTTTACCCTATATTTGTGTTGGAGGACAATGGGTTTAGCGCATTCAAATAAAATATGTTATCAATGTGGCTTTCTCTCTAAAGCATTCCGGACACTCTCATCTGAGCCCTTAAGCTCAACAAGACATGGTTCTAGCCATTTCAACAATGCATCCATCAGATTGTCTACACACGTCGAAGAAAAATCTTTGCTGTCCTAAAGGGGGGAAAAATCACTCTCTGTGAAAAATCCAGTGGTTTCCTATGCCTGCTTATTGATCTTCCCAAGAACAGAAAGTTAAGTCCATAATTATAAATAAGGCAACCTACTCATTCAAAGGCTGTATTTCTTCCTACATTCATGTTGTGGGTGAAAAGCTGGTATAACTGTCTAAGAACTGGCCATGAAGTTTAAATTTTACTTCTGGCAAGCTGTCTTTAGTCCACATCTAATACAACAACAATAATAACAACTGTGTTCCATCAAGTCAGTTTTGACTCCCAGGAGTTACCATCGGGTATCTGCTAAATTTACGTGATGCAAGTCTTTGTGGACTGAAGTTGCATATGGGTACCGTGCTGACCACACTATGCTTCAATATATTTTTCTACAGACAGCGTTCTGTTCAACCTTTATTTGTGCATGAAGATCTAACTGTGGGACGTTGCTATGGAGATACGATGAAGTGCTGGTTGTTTGGAAGAAAACACAGAACTAGCCCTGTTTCACATTTCTGCAACTGGAGTTTTAGTTGCACAAATACTGAACAAGATACGGGCATATAGGTTTTTATAGCAGCAGCAGTTTGCCTACCCCCACAAAGCCAGTAGGTTTTACCGCTTCATCCTCTTAGCTTGCTCTACACTGCAGTCTGTCAGCAGAGAACAACAAGGGATATCAGGATCTCAAGCCCTAAAGGTAACACTTTATAGGAAGCAAACCCACTGTAGAGTCATAGTGTTACTCATGTAATATAAAGGAAGCTCCCTCAAGTACTTTTCAATGGGCGATTAAGTACGATTATAAATGCTAAACCTGCAGGAAGCACAGGTTGGAGGTGGGGGCGAGAAAGGCAGTGTGGAATTATTGTGAACAACTGGACAGGAGGGCCTGGCGTGCTCTCGTCCATGGGGTCATGAAGAGTCGGACATGGCTGATGGTCGGATTCCAAAAGATCTCCTGTATGGAGAATGAGTGCAGGGAAATTGTCCCAGAGGGAGACCACAGCTGCGATACAAGAAGAGCTGCAAGCAGGATCTGAAGGCTTTAGGAATGGACCTCAACAGATGGGAAACCTTGACATCTGAGTGTTCAGCCTGGAGGCAGGCGGTGCATCACGGCTTCTCCCAATTTGAAGAGACCCTTGTCCAGCAGGCCGAGGCAAAGAGGCAGTCATGAAAGCAGCAAAACCAGGTAGATGGAAGGGAAACAGACTGTATTTGCCTTCTATGTGGAAGGGATTGTCACTCTCGAATTGGCCTCCTCAGCCACACTAGACGCTGTTCCAAGTCCTCCATACAGAGCACGTGACCATAGTCTCTCGAGACTGAAGGATGCTTAATCTAATCTAAGGTAACTACAGCCATGTATTAGCATTGAGTTCAGCATCCCTGGTACACCACTGATCGGGCATACACAAGGGTCTGAACTACAGCCATGTATTAGCATTGAGTTCACCATCCCTGGTATACCACTGATAGACAAGGGTCTCTGTAACAACTGCAGGAAAGGAACAAACTTTTTAGACCCAAAAAAACACCCAAATGGTTTGGAAGGAAAAGGAACAGGGAAGGCATTTGGGTTCAAAGCGGAGTGAAGGGTGCACGCCTTGAACCTGCTGGTGAGGACATAAGCAACTGGAAGAAAGCTACTCATTATATTGTTCATTAACAAAACAATTTTGCGTACTATTATCTTATAAAGAGGAGCATGAAATTATAACCTAAAACCACAAGATCAAGAGGTGCCATTAAGTTTCAAGAGCTTTCCGGTCGTTCCGAAAGCAAGCCTAATACAATATTCAAAACTCGACAAAGTTCTAAGAGGCTGAAACCCTTAAAAGCTGAGCTTCTTGAACTGCCCCTTCACGGATACTCCGAGGGATGTTCTCCCACTATTATAGGGATCGTACATCTGTAAGGCAACAATCTGGGACCTCGGTCTTTCGGACTGTCTGAAGGCGGCACGCAGTCCCCTCCTTGTCAAAAAACAGACATATGGGCAGATGGCATATCGCACAGATAACGGCTAGACAGCTCTTTTCAGCGGATTACCTTTCCAAATAAGACAAGGCATAGTTCTCAGTGTTTCTGGCATCATCAAAGCATTCTGTTTTGGAGAATCTGAGTTACATTTCAGGTTACCTATAAAACTTCCACAGTATGTTTGCAGGAAGCCAAACACACCCAATAAACCTCTCAGGGCAACAGCAAACCAATGTTCCTGCTGGATTAGCACACCTTTGGATAAAACACACACACACACACACACACACACACACACACACAAACACACCTCTTGTTAACCAAACCACAGCTCCAAAGACCGGGGGGAAACACACACACACACACACACACACCCTCATGTTAACCAAACCACAGCTCCAAAGACTGAAAAAAACAAAACAAAAAACCACCACCCTCTTTCCCAACAATCCTAAACCATCCTGGCAACATTAACTTCAAAGGTCACTGATGTTCCAGGAAATCTCGATTTCTCAACCCTTCTGGAATGCAGCTTTTGCTCAAATGGTCTTTCTTTAATTGACACCAAGACCTCTCCCTAACGATGCATTCTCCAACAGAAAGCAAACAGGTTTTTTTGATTGATTGAATAGACTTTTATACTACCCAGTTAGTGCAAAGCATGGCACTAATAGATAGATAGATAGACAGACAGCTAGCTAGCTATGGATGGATGGATGGATGGATGGATGGATGGATGGATGGATGGATGGATGAAAAAAAAGATCCTTATGTCCTTTGATTTGATTCAACTGACATGTTATGACCAGCCTAGTCTTGCACAGCTACTCCTAGGCCAGTTTTGCATCTGTGTTAGATTTATGCTCTTCCATCCTCTGGCTATCAAAACACAGATGGGCAACTCATAGTTTTCCAGATGTTGTTGGACTGAGATTTCCAGCATCCCTCCTGGATGGCTACCACATCTCTGTGCTTCTGTTAAGGAGCCTACATCTGATCCCTATGCAGTGCCCTATCCATTCACTGGCCAGAGGTCTAATCCTTTTAGCTTCAGAAAAAGAAGGGAAAAAAGGAATCCTTATGAATCTTTTAGACCATTCTGTGGCACTAAACTGGACTCTTCTGATTATTTTTGCATCCAATGTATGGTTTTGTAAAGGCTGCAGAGGAGTAGAGCCTAACAGATTAAAGCTAAAACAAAGGTTATATAACTAAGCATGAGTGATAGAAGTTAATTGATGAGTAACATATGGAAAGTTGATTTGTAACTTTGAGCAACACAGTAGACTCTCCAGGAGATAATCAAGGATCGCTTCTAAGTCCCAAGGAAAAATAAAGGCAAGCTTAGAGAAAATGCTGCATGGACAGATTTAACCCTAATTTGTATAAAGCGGTTGGAAATGTTTACATAACGTTTTCAAGCACCGACTGCATGTTCAGCTCAAAGATATAAAATTTCTGGAAGTGCTGAAACCATGAGAGAAATGGGCTTTTCACTAGGGTTTTGGGGAGGGGGAGGGAAAGATCCGGGCATATACAACAACACAGGAAGGGTCACCATTGGTCAAAATTGACTTAACAGCACATGGTTACTATTATCATTCTAGTTATACATTTCAAATATAAACATGCCTTAGTCCTTAGTATACCTACAACTGCACAGGCCTGTGTGTGTGTGCATGCATGCATGCTACAAAATGCTATGCCACGTGGAACACCAGCACAATTGTCTTAGGCTTTGACATTCCAAAAGAGGAAAACAATTAAACCCCTAAATGTAAACTCAAAACTGTAAATACAGCTACCTTTCCAGCTTCGAAACAAATGTTTCCTTCTGCATCCTGGTAACATCTAGGACCAAGTCAAACTTCATAACAATAACAAACTTTACAGTATCTGTAGCATTTTTAGAGCGACAGCTGTATGACTGTGCTTCAGTAACAATAAACACAAAGGCCAACAAGAAGAACAAGGTATTGTTGCACTTGTAATTACGGATGGCCCTCTTCCTCTTCAGACACGAGCAATACGGTCACTGGGAGACACTTACACCTGTTTACACACTGAACGCAAAATTGTGGCTCCATGTTTTGAAGGGGTAGATGGGAATCCACAAACTCTCCCACTGTGGATTCCAATTGACCCCTTGCAAAATGTGGAGCCACAATATTTTGGGGTGTCCTCCCCCCCCCTTATAGTCACGGACTGCCTTACACAAAACTCTTCTGAGTGAAAACCATGCCATAAAAAGTATTTTACTCATTTTTTTAAAAAACCCACAGAGAAAATATTTCATGGAAACTTTTTCCCCTATGATCCCCGAACATTCATTTCTTTCTGTTACAAAAAGAGGGGGGGGGAGAAAGGGGGAAAGTTTTACTATATTTGGGGCTATATTTACAGGTAAACTTGGTTAAAATTAGAATTTAATTTGTTTGCAGTGAAATTTTCTATTTCCCCCTCCCCTGACCTTCATCTCTCAAGTCTGTATCGGAGGGTGTGGGGTTTTGCTTTTTGTGTGTGGGGGGGATCACTTTGTTCAAAGGCAAATCTTGATTGCAACTTGACTGCACAATGACACAGTGCCACAGACCTCAAAACCAGCGAAGGATCAGTGACTCTGGGGAAATTTAAGAAGTTATGACTAACGGATCCATTCCAGTGGTGGTGCCAGCTACCAGGGGAATCCCAGAGGAGATTCCTTGCCAGGACTCACAGTACACAGAACATCCTCTCCATGCAGCTGCTTATCGGCAACATCACTACAGTGCAAAAATAAAATAAAAATGCTTTGGATGGGTATCCGTGCTCTCACGCTTCTATGCCACAGTAGCAATAAAAGAGTAAAACGGAATTCACAATATGCTCAAACAGAAGTAAGTTGGCAGGATAGTTCAGTGAGTTAGGCATCTGGGTGTGGAGCCAGAGGTCAAGAGTCCAGCTACCTGCTGGGCATCCCAGAAGAGCCATTCTGGGTGGCCTTGGGCCAGCTGCAGAGTCCCCAGGGGACCCCCAGAAGAAGGGAATGGAAAACCACTTCTGAATATTCTTCACCTAGAAAGAAAACCCTGAAATAGGGTCACCCTAAGTCAGATCCTGTGTGGATCATGGGTGCTCTCACCCATACTGGTAGCTGAGGATCCTTCAGCGGTGTTCTTAATCTCCAGGAGGTCAAACATGGGAAAAAAAGGTGATTCAGTGGATAAACTGGTTTCAAACTCATCCAAGGTGGCATTTTTCTTGTGACATGCTGTTAACTGACTTGTAGCAACCCTAATAGGGTTTTCAAGGTAAGTGAGATATTAAAGGAGTGGTTTTATCACTGCCAAACACCCAACAGAGTCTCCATGGGTGAGCAGAGATTCAGACACTGTCCTCCGGAGTCTTAGCACACCGCTCTACCCATTCACTTTTGCTGTTTTGATACGTTACATTGCCTGAGATTTAAAAATAAAAAGTACCCCAAAGAAAAATCCATATATTTGTTGGAATATTTTGTTTTCTTTTGTTTTGGGCACTGACAGCTTTTTTTACTTGGGGGAAAAACAGCTGTACATGAAAGCAGCTGAAATTTGGAGGTGTTGTTTACCATACTGCAGGAGACAGGAGAATAGAATGCCTACACTAATTTGAAATGCATTTTATCACAACACAGGATTTTAGGGTACAGAAATGTCCCACAGTGGTGCATGAGGGCTAAATAGTCTCATGCGTTCAGAAATTTTAACTTGGATGACACTGCAGGCACACGTTTATATGCTACTGACACACAAGCATTAGATTAGATGTCTGTTCCTCGGAACCATGTCATGCCAATCTCCCGCTGAAAATACATCCCACAACGAGTGCAAGGAATATGTAATGTCTTACAAAACCCTAGAAGCCCACAGCTGGCGAGGCTGAGCCAGAGAAGAGCCAATTTCCAGATTTCTATCAGAGCTTAGAGCATCTTATTCACAGCTTGTAACTCAACACAAACACACCCTAAGAAGTCTTTCTAATTCAGACCTACTTCCGCATCACACACAAAACCCTGCAGGTGAGGACAGGGCAATGTAGACGAAGCTGATTGCACAACCTGTACCAAATACATTGCAGAATCATGCCCAAAGGAAGGGTGAGGTTGACAAGCTTGGTTTATGCAGCACCAGTATGTATCAGGAATTATGCACCAGGAAGCAAAAGGCGGCCAGCTGACAGGAGAGCTGAAGGCAGCCATAGTTCCATGAAGAAAGAAAACACATCCCCTCGTTTTTTTTCCTACCTGGACTCTCTCACCTGTTGCAACTGCTGTTTACAAACCTCTCTCCCATTCCAAGGACATTTTAAAAGATAACGGCCTTGCTATAGGCAAGTTAGGTTTCAAAGCAAACAGTGCTCTGACTTTTCAACAAATCTGGTTATTTTCCAAATCCACCACGGGGACAAACCCTGCGCCCACAAGATTTCTCCTCTTCCCCCTTCCCTGGTGCATCATGACCGAAAACTTCCAAGGCTCGTTAAACAGCGATTTCCCATTACAATCCAAACGACAAAAGGCTGTAGTTCAGTCTCTGTCAGGAAACGGTGGTTTAAAAAGTTGTGGAAAGTTTTCTATTTGGGGGCAAAAAAAGAAAAAAAAGAATGGAGGAATAAAAGCAGCACACACGGGGAAGATTTCTCTTGGGTTTCATCCTCAGATGCCTAGATTTAGGGGTGGTCCACCAGGAATAGGGAGCCTGCCGGGCCACTGCTGGGGGACCCCCACCCCACGGACCAGGGGAACTCCACCAACAAGAATCTTCAGTAAGTCTCAGACCCACCATTCTCAGCCCGTTTTCTGGAGGCCAACAGCAGCACAGTATTTACTGGATATTTATTTATTTGATCGTGACTGATTAGAAATTATCTGTGCATAATCAAAACGATGCTGCTCAGGCCTGTGCAAATTCAAGGGAGGAGTGTACTGCAGAAAACAAGGGAGGGAGTAATCAATTCTTCGTTTGGCTGTACATCATCCTGCATCTTCGAGCACTTCCCTGCCCTTCCTCCAAGAAGTGTCTAACAGCATATATACAATTACGGCTTCTTATCCTTACAACAGCCCAACAAAGTGGCAGAAGATGGAAAATAATGACTAGCCTAAGACCAAGCAGGGGCTTCAGTGAACATATCCCTAAACTCAAAGGCAACTCTGTGCCAGCTCTTTCCAAATCCTCAGAGTTTTGTCAATCAATCAACGGAAAACATGTTGCTACCTTTCTGCCCTACAGAGATGAGCACAAGCGTTTCCAGGAAGTGATTATACAACAACATGAATCAGCTCTCCTTCTTAGGAAAGACTTCTCCGGATAGGTCTACCTGCTCTCAAATCCTCTCCAGAAATTGCTTCAGTTTCACCTTCTAAAAAGGGCCCGCTATATTAATACCCAAAGCTTCGTTCCAGTGTGTCACAGCATACCAAAATCTTTGCCTGGAAAAAAAAAAACTCCCTACTTTCCAGGAGCCAGGGCTAAATGCTTGTCTTCCTGATCAACAGCCATGTGATTTCTGATGGGTGTTGCTAAATGTGCTAGAATTACACGAGGAGAAATGCCAAAACAAAACACCAACCATGCATGGCCCTATTTATATAAAGGCACCTGGGTAGATTAAGGCTCCTTTGCCAAGTGAGGCAGAATTTAGTGGTGTCATTCTGAATTGGACCATTTCAGAAGACTGTGAGTGTCAAGTCTTATTTTTTTTAATATTCCCCAATACATTTTGAAAAGCAGAGCGCTCAAGATCTGGCCGAGGTGCACGTCCGCTGCACCGAGAGAGCTTTTTATATGGACGAAATGGGCCTCCACATCAAATCCAGAATTCTACTCTGCAAATGAAGTACGTCGTTCTGGGTCTGACGTGCAACGGGGGAAGGAAAAATTCCATCTTTCAACCCTTGTGTCTCAAAAGTATGGATTGACCAGGACGGGTATCCTCGCCTGAATCTAAATCTCAACTGATCGCTGGAAGGAAGGTAGCTCACTGAAGGTCCACCCGCCGCCAACCCCTTCTCCCGACAAATGCAACGCTGGTGAAGGCAACCCAGAACAACTTACCCAAGGTGAATTCCCATTGTTCGTTCCCAAGAGATCGCTCGGGAACCACCTCTAGATCTAGCATTGGCTCAGGGAGACGAACAGCCCAGCGATCATACAGCAGGTTCACGATATTGCTGTTGGTTGACCTGGAGAAGGACAGAAGGACACACCCAAGCTTCCATCAATGGCGCCATCCTGCCAATCAAAGGTCATCACCCAGACCAACATGGAAACACTCCCGCTTGTTCAAACCCTGCTGAAGGAAACCGCAGCTCTTCAAGCCTGTGCTTGTTAATAATAACGTTGTCATTAATAGAAACAAATTGCCCCACTTCCTGTTTGCCGGTGTTCAACAAGAGGTTTTCAAAGAATCCTGCTATCCTGTAGCAAATTATACACTTCAAACATGGAAGCTAATTATATAATGCAGGCTACACCTGGGTTGCATCTTCTCCTCCGATCAGGGTCTCGTCCCTATTCAAAGGGCAAACGCGATAAGAACGGGAAGGCCCATGCTTGCTTCTACTTTGTCCCTTCGCCAGGAAGGAAAAGTGAAGTGCGTTGATTCCCCGAACTGCCAATCTTTGGGATAACCCTTCGGCCTCTCCCCAACACCGCTGTAATGAAAGTAACTGGGCATGGAGAGGAGAGGGAGAGAGGCATCTTTAAGGAGAAAATCTAGGAACTTTCCAAATTCACCTCTTGTTGTGTTTGTAAAGGGCAAAAGGACACGCACTTCTCTCCTTAAGGTCAAGCGCCCTTCCAAAAATTGAGACTAACTACGTAGAAACTCTCTCCAACATGGTGAGAAACTTTGGGGGGGGGGGTTTCTCTGAAAATACCAGTCTTCACAGGGTAGCAGCCAAGACAAATACTCATGGGGGACAAAGACACCCTCAAATACACACATGTGCAAATGGGCAGAAACTCCAGCACGCACACACACACCCCAAAGGTGCCCTTGGCATTATCCAGAAGAGTCACACTGCTAGGAAGATGCCGTTTAAATCATGATTAAAGTCAAATTCACCCTGATTCCATAGGAAGATAGTGGGGGAAGGGGGACTGGCCCCGAAATTTCAGGTAGGTTGTCCTCCACGGTTGGTCCAGGAACTTCGCTGGCTCTACTCGGGAGTCACAATCAGGTTAGCAACAATCTATTATCCCCCAGGTGGTTAGACAGGGCTAGCCGAAAAAATGTGGCAGCCTCAGACAGAGAAGCACCCTTTTGGCTTGTTACCGAGACCGAGTTATGGTTCTGGGAGAAGAGGAGGACAGAACTCCAATTATCCCATAAACACCTCTTCTCTCAAATTATCCCATAAACGCCCGGGGCTTAAAAACACCCCATTTCCGTTTTTCCTCCTGAGGAGCAAATTAATTCAGCTCTCGCTTTTTAGGCATAGACACCATCCAAGAGAGATGCAGGGATCTTTAGGACGGGGCAGGTTTCTAAAATTAGGGCCTGAGATGTTGGTGGACTACAATTCCCAGAAGCCCCATGTGCTGGCTGTGCCAGTTAAAGGCTTCTGGGAGGTGTAGTAAAAAAATAACGATAATCTGGTGCCCCAAATTTGGGAAACACTGTTTTAGGACAACTAGTTTATCTCTATCCTCCCCCCTCTCCTAGGGACATCATTAGTTCCCCCTGCAAGAAATGAACTAAAATTAATCATCCCAAATTGGGAAGGGGGGATGCTGAGAGAGTTCGGGAAGGCCCCTCTTTGATAAGGCAGAAACCAGCGGTGGGCAACATGGACTGGGCACACAGATTCACATATCCCAAAACTAACCCTGGCAAAAAATAAATAAATAAATAAAAATTCTTGCAATAGAAATTTCGGGCTGCTACCCCATATACTGTATACCAGCAGGTCACAGGGGCCGGTCTCCCAAAGCAGGCTCTCAAAACAACCACAACCAACAACAACCTACTGGGGCTGCAGTTATGCTCAGTGACCACACACACACACACAAACAACACATGCACATTATTTGTGGGTCTCAACGTGCCTTACCTCTCTGAATCTCCATCGGGGACCACGAACGGGCAAAGGCACCCAGATCAGAAAAACATCCTCTCCCCCCCACTTTTGATCTTTGGGGTGCCCCCCCCAATATTCCACCTCTGTGAACTTGCTCCCCTTCCATCCCAACCCCAGATCTTCTCCCCCCCCCAAAAAAGGTGTAACATTTTATGAATGCAGGAACAGCAAACTAACCCCCTCCCCATATAGTACTTCCCTGTAATACTACTCTCCCCTAGTAATACTCCCCTCCCCCATTAATACTTCCCGGGGGGGCCATTATCCCAATTTCCACCCCTTCCTCGGGGATTCCTCAAAATTCAGCGACCCTTCATTCCATTCTTGGGGGGGGGGGTAAAACCCACCAACCCCCCCTCAACTTAGGGTGATCTTTGTTTGTGGGGGGGCAGGCAAATTCGTCTCTCCCCCCCAAGCCCCCCTTCCAAGCAAGCTCCCCCCTTAATGCAAACATGGCAGATGGGGGGGAGCACCCCACTCTTTCCCAGCCAACAAAGCAGTTCCCCCCCCAAAAAATAATAATCCCCTGATACAACAATAAGGGAAGGGAGCCTCTCTTTTAAGCACTCTTCAAGGGACGAGGGGGTCGTCGCCCCCCCATATTTTTGGGTGGCCTTCCAGGGGAGGAGGGCAAGGGGGGCTCCCCGCTCTGGTTGTTGTTCCTGTGCCCCCCCCCCCGCCTTGAACACAATAAATGCCCAGAAAGGGGGGGAGGAGGAAGGGAGGAGGAAGAGAGAGGGAGGGGAGGGCCCCCCTCGCCTCCCCAGACGGGTTTTCCAAAGGGGGGGTCTCCCTCTCTCTTCCACCCCCCCACCCCCCCACCGGGGGCCGCCACTCACCTCACTTGCGGCTGCTGCAAAAGCCCACGGCCAGCCCGAAATTTTGCAGCCGCGGCGGCCGTCAGGCGAGGGAGGGAAGGCGGGGAAGGAAGGAAGGCAGGGAGGCGGGCAGGGAGGCGGGCGAGGCGGAGCCCCGGAGGCACCCTCCCCTCCCGCGGGCCGGGCGGAGAGAGGGAGGCCGGCCGCCTCCGCCTCTTCCTCCTCCCCCTCCTCCTCCTGCCGGTTCCTTTTCCTTTCGGGGGTCTGGACTACAACGCCCAGGATCCCCACAACCCCCCTCCCTGCTGGCTCCCCTTTCGGGGATCGGGAGGGTGAGGGTCTGGACTACAACGCCCAGCATCCCCTTCCCAGCAGGGGTGGTGCATCACTTTTCTAGCTTGGAAGAGTGTTCTTTTTTTTAAGACTCTCTCTCTCTCTCTCTCTCTCTCTCTCTCTCTCTCTCTCTCACACACACACACACACACACACACACACACACACACACACACACACACACACACACACGCAGAGGAAACCTCCCTGCTTGCTCACCTTTGGGGCTTGGAAGGCTTATTGTTTTTGGACTACAACCCCCAGAATCCCTGCCCGGTGCTTTATTTTCCCCTGTTTGGAAAAGGGTGCCCTTCGGACTACAGCAACCCTGCCCGACAGACTTCCCTGCTTCCTCACCTTCTCTGTTTGGAAGAGTGACTTCTTTAGAATACAAAACCCAGAATCCCCATAGTCAGGAGACCTCCCTGCTTGCTTGCCTTTCATGTTTGCAAACCATGCTTTTTGGACTGGATCTCCCAGAATCCCCTAAAAGGCATGCCTTGTGGGTCATTTTTTCCTACTTGGACGAGTTACGACCCCAAAACCCCCCTGCTGCTTGCTTGTCATTGCTTTTAGACTACAACTCCCAGAATCCCCTAGCCACTACCCTGTCCATTCCCTCAAGGTGTCTCGTTATCTATATTGCCTTAACTTCTCATCCCTGAATCTTCCAGCCTGCCTGTTCACCTTCTCCTTTTCCCCAGTCTCAAAACATCTCACCAGTCCGAATGCAGCTCCGTCCTACCTCGCAGGGTTGCAAAAAAAAAAAAAGTAGAGTTAGATGGCAGTACATATACGCCCATCTTTAAAACCGAGATAAGGAACCACGTTAGGCAACAGCTGGTTTCGGACATCCCTGCTTTATTTTAATTTGTACCCTATTAATCGACAGTTACGCAACTTAGTCCTTGTATTTACTCACCTCTGGTTATCAATGTTTAATATATTAAAAACATCCCTTCTGGCCAAGAA